AGGCCCGGGTGCAGGCGGACACCGAGCGCAAGGAGGTAACGTGGGTGCGTGGAACCTCGGGGGCCACGCCTGTGTGGGGGCCACACCTGGTGTGGCCAGAGACGAGTCAGAGTCAGGGAAGGTGGTGAGCAGCGTGGTCCCGCCCCTTCTCACACCCAGCTTGGGAGAGGCTGGGAGTGCGTCAGGGCGGAGGTGGGGGGCGGGCGTGCTGTGTGCTGGGGGTGGCGGTGTGATGTTAACTGAGCTTCCTCACGCAGAGCAAGTGTGCGTGGGGTGTGCGAGCAAAAGTCAGATTGACTTGCTTCCATCAAATTTCCTAAGAAAAAAATTCTATGTAAGAAAACGTTTTCACTTATTTCTACTCCTTAGAGGTCAAAGGATAGAAGAGCTTTTACGGTTTTTAATTTCCTAAATGACTTCTTAACGTGTGATTGACTGTTTTCCTTTAAGAACGTGTCACTCTCAGTTACAGTTGACGATGACATTACACTGATTCCAGGGTGCTCAGTGGTTAGGCATCGCTGTACCTCGTCAGGCGTCGCCCCATAAGTCTCGTACCCACCGGACGCCATAGTGATTACTTTGTCTTCAAGGAAGGAAAATGTTGCTTCTACCCATGAAGAGAGAGAGAATTTTAAAATACTTAAAAAATACCATTCCAGCCCTGGCCGGTCGCTCAGTGGTCAGAGCGTCGGGCTGCACACCGAAGGGTCGCGGGTTTGGTTCCGGTCCAGGGCACGGACCTCCGGTGCGGGCTCAGTCCCGGCGCAGAGCCGTGTTCGGGAGGCAGCCGGTCCGTGTGCTTCTCTCCCATCGCGGTTTCTCTCCCTCTCCCGCTCCCTCTGCCCACCTCCCTTCCACTCTATCTAAACGGCCCTGGGCGCGGATCACAATATGTGCGTACAGTTCCCACTAATCCCTGCCGAATGCCGAGCTTTAGGGAAAGAGAAAAGCTCAAGGGCCAAAAGATTTGCAATTATTCACCCAAATAACGTGGGTTCGGCTCTGTGCCCTCAGGCCCCCCGGGTGGTGGGTTTTAAAACGAGAAACCAAGTCTTGGCACCAGTGGCCTGTGGATGAGCACTCGCTCTCGGAAGGCGCCACCAGCACGTCCCGCAGCGTGGACCCAGCAGCGTGGACCCTGCAGCGTGGACCCCGTGGGGCTGAGACTATCAATAACGTGAAAACGGGAGTGGCTGAGCTCCCGGCGGAGAAATGAAACCAAAGTGACAGCCGCTTGGCGCGGAGCCGGACCAGGCACCTGCCTCCTCCACGGAGAAATGAAACCAGCCGACCAAACAGAAAGCGAGCTGTGAGCCAATCGTTTTGTTTCTTTTTACAGCAAAATGGCCTTCGGGCAGTGAGTTACATGGTGACCCTTTCTGTGGCAAAGGTGCTTGTAGAGAAAGTACCAGGCCCGGCCTGTGCAGGGACCTGCGTCACCCCCTTCTGGTCCCCCCTCCTCTGCGTTG